AGAGGGGGAGATCCAGCCTCAAAATACAAGACACACAAAGAAAGCCAGTGTGTGTGAGATGGGGGGGTGGGAGGGGACAAAAATGGAGAGGTGCGTAGGGGTCGGCTTACAGAGGACTTCACAGACCACATTAGGTTGCTTATGATGTTATTTGTGAGAAGTCATTGGAATAATATACAGTAGGGTAATTTCAATGTACTTGTTCTTTTTTTGGCACCAGGGATGGAGCTTGTGTCCTTGAGCTTGCGAGGCAGGCGGCGGAACCACTGAGCTAAATCCCTGGCCCCTCAATTTACTTGTTCTCTGAGAGATTATTTGGCGCAGTGAGAAGAACGCAGGGGATGAGAGGAGTTGTGGTAGGTGGAGCAGAGGCAGGCAGGCAGACCAAATCGAAGGTTACGGTGAAAATGAAAGATGGGGTTTTGTCTGGGATAAGGTAGACAACAGTGATAATAGCAGAAGGATATTAGCTGGCCATCTGTATCGGAGGTGGAATCCTTTCTAATACATTATAGGCAATTCTAAAATTAGGGATGAAAGAATGCCTTAATCATCAGTTAATATTTTTGAGTTCTTACTTTGTTCCAAGAGCCAAAACAGGTATCAGGGATTTGATAATGAAGAAAATGAGGCAAATTTTTACCAGCATAGCTATGCCTTATGATCTGGTGAGAAATAATCATTAAAAATAAATAACCAATACCAAGCTCAGAACAAGGAATGTAGTAGAAGCTGTGTGTTCTCATAGGTCATATAATAAAGAGAACTTATTTAGCCAGATTGTGAGTATGTGACAAGAGATGTGCAGACGTGGAGAGGTGGAGAATGTCCTAATGTGAGGTGTGGTGGGGGTGCATAAGGGAGGTGGTAGCACAGTAAAGGCACTGACCTAGGAGTCAGCAGGACTGGAGGGTAAAGTAGGAGTAGTGAGAAGGGATTGAGACTACATTCCATCTTGTAGGCCTAGGCAGGTTGCCTTTGGTCCTAATAAATATGAAAACCTTTTGTCCTACTTGCCAGGGTCTCTTCCTATTTGAATACTTGTTTATTACAATGATTTGATTTGAAATAAGAAAATGACAGAACTGGAAATTAACCTGCAAAAAACAGTGAAATGGCTGTGTTTGAGTAAGGTAATTGTGAGGTCCCCAAAGAATTGGCATGCTTGATCTTGCTCTCAGGTGCAGTTGAACATTTCAGAATAGCATAATCATTATAATCTTTTATGACACCACCAGAATTATCTTTCCTAAATCTGGCAAACCTTTGGCCACTGTCCCAGAGGCTCTCTCTGAAACCCAGTGTTTTATGAGTTTTTGGAGGATGGGAATATATTCAGTGAATGCCAGTGTTGCAAATATTGCCAGTGTTATTATGGTACTTGTGAATGTTGAGTTAAAAAGTCAGTGTCACATGATACTAAGAAAGTGATTCATTGTTTAGTTGTGAATTAAGTAACTGAAGAATGGGTAACCCCATCAAATCTCAACTGTCTAAGATGAAGGGATTAAAAATGTGAACTATTAGAGCAGATGTTTGAAAAGGAGGGCAAATTGTCTTCCAACTGGGTAATTGGAAATGTCTGGAGATATTTTTGGATACCACACAGTGGTTGTGGTGTTACTTGTACATAGCAGAAAAAGAACAGGGATGCTGCTAAACATACTATGTGAGAGCAGGGTATAGGAGACACAGACTACTACACAGAGCCATCTGTCTTACAAATATCAATAATGCTGAGGTTAGGAAATCCTTGCCTCTTTACTATATTGCAAACATCTTTGCTTTCTGAAAGTAGATGCATATACAGATAGGGTTACATTTTCATTAGTATATGTTTGTAGTAGGTAATAATCACATTCGATTTGTGGATCGGTACAGATGCGTATTCCATCTTAATCACTTTACTTTTCCTCTCGCCCGTTCCGCTCCCTCATTGCACGGATCACCTTCACATCTCCACAAAATTTACCTCACTGTTTCCTTTCGTCTCTGTTTTATCTTGCTTTTATATTTTGTTTCTCATATAAGAGAAATCTATGTGATATTTAATCTTCTGTGTCTAATTTATTTCACTTAGGGTTATTATTGTTATTACTAATTTTGGTACCGGGGATCGAACTGGGGACCTTGTGTTTGTGAAGTAGGCGGTGGAACCACTGAGCTAAATCCCCGACCTCATTAAGGATTATGATGTCAAGGACCGTCCGCTTTCATACAAGTGGCTCAAATGTATCTTTCTTTATGGTGTAGTAGTTAATCCATTGTGTACATTTACATGTTCCTCATCCATTCATCCGTCGGGACGCTGCTTCCATAATTTAGCTATTTTAATTGTGTTGCCATAAACATATACATGCATGTATCCTTGTAATCAGATATCTGTAATTCTAAGGGAGATACCCAAATAAGGTACAGATGGATCAAATGGAATTCAATCTTATGGAGAATCCGTATTGATTTTCATAGTGATTGTACTAGTTTACATTCCCACCAACAACAAAAAAAGGAGATGGATGAAGAGGAACATCTCAAATGAGCTAGGAATTCTTCAAATTTTGTGTTTGCATTTACATTTTAAAAACCTGTACATTCGCTGCTATTTGAGACCATAATAAGCTTATTGTTCTGCGCTTCCTGGGACGACTTTTTTCCTGAAGAATGTCCAGTGATCTCTATATCATCCTTTGGTTGGGGCCGCAGGATCATCCATACAGAAGCCCTTAGAAAGAGTCAGGTATACTCAGAGTTACATTCTCACAAAATCCTCGTGTAGCACGAGGCATACTGGGTTATTTCTGGGTTTCTGAGCAGTCTTACATTAGGGAGCATGTGAAAAATAATGAAGTAAAAGATAAATGAGGCTAAAATACTAGCATTATTTGGAAATTATAAAATCTGATTTAGAATAGGTAACATTAGATGTGAGAGCCACATAGGCTTCCCGTACTCTACAATGTAATGGGGCAGAATTATCTCTTGTGTCTCAGAAACTGGATCATTTAGCGGGGTCAGAATTGCCTGTCATCTCACGAAAGCTGGGACAGGGACATGCATCACAGTGGTAAGGAAGAGTCTTCTAGAGAAGAAGCAGAAGAGGTTGTGCTTCTGTTGGAATCTCCTTCCCAGCAAAGAGACAAGAAGTAGAGCTGAGGCTGCACCGCTGATTATTTTCACATCACTCAGCCAGTCAGGCCCTCTCCTTCAGTACAAGAGGAAGGAAGTACGAGAGGGAGGTCAGAGTTTACTCACTGTTCATTGTGTGGAAGGAAACATCAGGAAACAAAGGAAAGATGGTCCTCTTCTGCTGCCTAACTGCCACGGATTGTAACTCTGTCCCCCACATTTTCCAGTTCAGTAGCTACCAGTTATGTGGCACTATTATAATTTAAATTAATGACTATTAGATACATTTAAAGTATTTTAAACTCTTAGCAGCCCTAAGCAGTGATTGGCTCCTGAATTGGACAACTATAGAACATTTCCACCAAGAAAGAGCGATTTGATGGTACCAATAAGAGATTTTATCTAATTCATCTTGTATGATCCTTTATTTCCTAAAAGAAGGCCTGACTCAAAGACACTAAAATGGGTTTTTTTGGAATGAATACACGAATGTGAATTGTGCTTTTGTTTTCCAAATCTGTATGCTGTAAAGATCTGCTCATTCTAAAGCAGCAATGTGTGAAAATTGATCACAATCATCTTGTGAAATGGAACAAGTCAATTGAAGAATATGAAATGCACATTCTTGCTTTTATTCTGAAATAATTATTTGTGTATGTGTGGATCCCTTCAAACATAGGAAAAAAGTCTTGAAAGGTATACACCAGATTGTAAATTCCATAAAGTAGTTGAGACTGAGAGAAATAAGAAAGAACTGTTTTACTTAGGAAATTGTTACAAGGAAAATGAATTACTTATGAGTGAAAATAATGTGTAACAGATGATGTGTAATATGTTAACTTTCTAGATTCATAAAGAAAATAATAGCTATTTTAATATGAAGTATTATGAAAGAAAATTTTAAGAGACTAGAATCAAGTGTTAAGAAAGATAGTATTGAAATATAAGCACAAATAATAGCTCGATGGATATCGTGTGTACACCATGAAAATTATTTCTTAAGTCACATGTTATGTTTTCTTTCACATAATATGGATCCGATACTTAGCTGTAGAGAAAGATAGGGCCAGATGGCACTGGCTCATTTTTCTGTTATACTTCCTCACCCAGCAACACTCTTTCTCCTGCCTCTTCTTATAGATATTACTTTGTTCACTGTAGGTGTAATGTTCACCCTGGGAATGGACCTCGTGTTGACCACATCAGGATACTGACCCACTGACTGTGATAATCCTCTAGCAGCCTCACTTTGCTCTGTGTGCGGTAGTTTATGCTGGACAGATGCTGGACCAGAATTCAGCCCATAAAATTAAGACATTCTGTTTAACAGGGCAGAACCTAAATTGCTCGAGCAAGGACATTGCGGTATGCAGCAGAGCCTTAAAAAGTACCCAGAGTCATCTAACCTGCAGGAAAAGACAACCTGCATTCAAATGAAGATATTTAGATGCCATGTTAATTTCTCAGGGGGAAATAAAAGGCTATCATTATGAGCATACTGAAACCAAATGAGATTGACAAATAAAATAATACAGAAAGGCCAGTTTAATTAGCATCTTTGCTATTTATTTCATGCTTAGTCAATAGGAGAAGCGAATATTTTCATCAAACAATTGAAGTGAGTGAATTTAAATATATGAATATAATTACCAAAAATTATATTCACAAAGGTTTTAAAAATAAGCATTAAAGATGGGATATCTTTGTAGTTATAGCTTTTGTTGACTATTATCCATTCTTATCGTGTGATGGCTTCTGGGCTTGGGTGAAACTCCACCTAGATAAATACATTCAGGGCCCTGATAGTTGAAGAATTAGAAAGTTTTGGTAAACAATTCTTTTCCTAATTTTTGTGTTACTATTTTTATTTTCAGACCCACTATGAAAATGGAGAATACATTATCAGGCAAGGTGCAAGAGGAGACACCTTCTTTATCATCAGCAAAGGAACGGTAAGCTTTGGTGGCACAAGATGTGACACATGAAGGCAGTCTGGGATTGGTCAGCACCTCCTAGGGGTGCACATGTACCAAGTCGTGGCACAGAGAGCTATTTGACAATGGGTTTTAAAAAAAGATACAGGAGGGGCAGGAGGAAGAGTGTACCTTTGAGGATCCTTAGAGAGCCAGAGTGGCAATAATCTTGTTAGTATGTATCACTGATAAGTCTAGGTGAGTGCACAGCTCTCTGTATTAAAACTATACAACAAGAGTGCTAAGGGCACTTTTAAAGATCTATACAGTCTTTAGAAGCAGTAACATTGTGACAGTGAAACATCTGGGCTGTGAAATCAGGCGGCCTTGAATCTGCACTGAAACTTACTATAGTGTCCTTACACAAATGGCTTCATATTCTAAGGGCAGTCAAGATATAAGTACATTGTAGCTTTATAAAGAATATTGAGTGAATATTAAGAAACTATTAAAAGTGATAAGGAGAGAAAACAGTAAAAAATGACTGTGAATGCAAAATTGTTATTTTTATATTCTTTTATTCTCAACAGTAAGAATCTATTATAATTTATATTATAAGGCAAAAGATTAAATAAATTAGAAAATTATCTATTTAAGTCTTCTATCACTAAAATGTATTACAATTCTCAAACAGTACAGCCATGCTTTACATTTTCATTGCACTGTGATCTAGGACTTGAACTTACTTTTCTTTGTCATAAGTTATATTGTTTTGTTTTGTTTGAGACAGGGCCCCATTATGTAGTTCAGGCTGGCATGAAACTCACTATGGTCTTTGAATTCATGGTGATCCTCCTGCCTCCGCCTCCTGAATGCTGGGATTGCAGGTGTGCACCACTGTGCCCAGCTGTGTCATAAAGTATACTGACAAAGCATTTTCATTCTGAATACATCAAATACAGTATAGATAAAGGGACAGAAAAGCAGTAGAGAGGACCTATATGCCAATTTTAATTTTAAACCTGTTACTTTAAAATTAAGTAAATTTATCTTTTCTACTTAGAAAAAAATAACTGACTCTGGTACCTATTGCCCATGTAGAAAGATTTTCAGAACCATAGAAAATACAATGTATTTTACAGTAAATAAATTACATTTTAGATATTCCTTTTTGGACCACTTTGGAATAAAGAATTCCATAATTGAATCTTATGCCAAAGGCATGTCCCACTAAAATAAGAGACAATATTTATACTTTTATATGTGTTTGTTTGACTGATATTTGAGAGCCTGAGGTAGGAATAGAAGTTAGAAACTGGGTTCTTAGATAATATCATGCAATGGCATGTCTGAACACACTTATGGAAAATGTGTATCTTTCATTTTACAGTATTAGGGGATTAAAAAAGACATTTTGTTGTGTTTAGATGGTAGATTGATAGTGTTTACCATTTACTAAATTTTAACATTGGCTAAAAAAATCAGGGAAAATTGAAAATCCTCACGGACATAAGCCATCTGATTGGTCACAATGCGACATTTTGTCTGACAATCTATTTTTCCTTATTATGCTGCTCATTATTTACTATCATGGAGTGATTATTTATCCATTAAAATGAATGTCTGACAAGCTTTTGTGATGACCTGATTGCTACAGTTTTCCAGCATGGCTTTAAAGAAGTAGCGGCTGCTAACTAGTTTCAGCTGAAAATAAGTGCATTAGCACTGCTGTTTTTTTGGGGTTTTTTTTTGTAGCATGTATAGAAGCAACATGAAAATTATACCCCAGGAACCAATTCTCTTGACAGTTCTTTAATACAATGTTGCAACTCTGGGAGAGACATGGTAATAATATATTAGACATTTTGACACATCTAAGGTTTTTTTTTTTTGGTATTGGGGATTGAACTCGGGTCCTTGTGCTTGCAAGGCAGGCAGCAGAATCACTGAGCTAAATCCCCAGCTCTAGGTCGTGTGTGTGTGTGTGTATGTGTGTGTGTGTGTGTGTGTGTGTGTGTGTGTGTGCGCGTTTTAAGGCATTAATTTCCCCTCAGTTTTCCATACTGAACTGATATCTAATTATGTCAATTTATATATTAATTATAATATTAGTGCATTAAAACAGTTATAAGCACCAGAAGATGAGCATACTTAGGTCCATTTTCAAGAATAAAGATGAATAATAATAGAGTTGGTTAAAGTTAGCAGGAAAATAAGTTGTGAACTTTGAATTTTCTTTTCTTTTCTTTTCTTTCTTTTTTTTTTTTGTTTTTTGTTTTTTGAGACAGCGTCTCACTATGTAGTTGAGTCTGACCTGGAGCTCACTATGTAGCCCAGGCTGGTCTCGAACTCACACTGATCCTCCTGCCTAAGCCTCCCGAGTGCTGGGATTACAGGCGTGAGCTACCACGCCCAGCTGAATTTTGAATTTTCTAAGACTGTGTTTTGTTTTAGATATAATGATGTAAACTCGTTTCCTTATCCATTTACAAAATTTACAAAGGACGATCATGGTGAACACAATTTCCTTGCTACCACTGAATGGACTTTTTCTTAGAAAATTCTATAAAATGGAAGGAAAGACAATGTAGGGGCAAGCTGGAGAGCCACAAATGGATTTCTCCCTGTTCAGTTTTATTGATTTTTGTGTAAAAACAACTTATTATTTCATTAAGCCTTTTCACAGAGAGAGAAACATTATGAAATAAACTTTGAAATCCTACTTATATTCCTCTGTTAAACCTGCACAAAGAGATTTTCTAAAACTGAAAGCAGAATGCTTGCAGCGGTGATGCAAAACGTACCTCGTGCAGTCACCAGCGGAAGCTGAGTTAGTTCTCTTTACTTTATTCAGTTCATTACACTTGCCTAGAAACAAGATTTCCTTCTTCAACAGTGGTGTAGGGCAGATCGGGGAAACACCAAAGAATTCTGAAGTCCTACAGAGATACTGCGTTCAAAACTGTCCCCCACTCCATAAATAAGTTGAATCGAAGTGAAATAGGATTGGTATACACAACGTCAGAATTCTGATAATAATTCAAATACATTTGGATTTTTCTGGCTTTAGTCAGTAAACATTGTACACTACCAAAGCTGCTTACATCGTAAGTGCCACTTAAAAGGACGTGGCTTTATTAGAGTCAAAACTTTTTAAACAGGATGGCTAAATATATTGGCCTAAAGAAATTCTCAGTGTTTTGAATTTTGAAAGTTTTCTGTTATGGAAATTATGTTTACAAGTGTATATGTATGTGTATGTATACATCATGGTGAAGCATGAGAAACATTTCTCATAGATCACGAACACTCGTAAGATGAGGTGCATGTTATCGCGTTTCTTTAGTGTACTAGACAACCCAACTATTATGTCTAGAAAAAGATATAATAATGACGACGAAGAAAGAGTTAAAGGTGATATGATTTTGGTATCTTTTAAAGGTTTTAGACAGATATGTTATTAAAATCAATAATTGTTCAGCTAAATCATCATTGTTCAGTTTGTTTTTCTGAGTTTTTGGAAATATTCGATATGTATACATTCTAATGTAATGGCAGTCTCATTTGTTGTCTAGATCAAAATTAACTAATTTAAATTAAATAATCAAATTCTCAGCAGCAGTAGCCATGCTGCAATAAGTGAATACTTAGATGTAGCACTAATGACTTCAATGGGCATTGAAGATATAGGTACAATACTCCCCTTTAAATATTGAAAAAGCCAAATGATTTGATATAATCCACCATATTAATAATCTAAAGAAGAAAATCCACATTATTCTGTCAAGCAAATAACTGAAAATATTTGATAGGTGCAACATCCATTCATAGTAAAATATTTTAAGATGGCATCTATAACGTTCCTATAGTAAATACATTTAATGATGAAACAAAAAGCAATCTGTAGATGGAAGCAATCGATGAAGAAAGGAAATTCTTTTCAACAAATAATGTTGGAACAATTACTAAGTCACAGATGAGGAAAAAAAGTGAACCTTGAAATAAACTTCATATTTTATATATGAAAATATTCAAAATTGATAATAGATTTAAAAGTAGAACTAAAACTAAAAATGCTTACAGGAAAATAATTGCTTGAGGTCATATAAATATCTCTTAGGCCTGGTACCAAAAGTTCAATCTATAAAATAAAAATGTTAAATCTGGCTTTATCAGATGTATAAATTTTTATATTATGAAAGATACTGTTAAGAGAATGAAGAGGTATATTACTATCTCGGAGATATTTACAAATTACACCTCTGGTAAAGGACTCTTAGTGAGCCTAAACAAGGAACATGAAACAATCAATAATTCAAAAAAAACTATTCAATATTTTAAAAAGTGGACAAAGAACTTGAATAGATACATAAGCAAAGAAGATACAAGATTGATAAATGCACATAAAAAGACTCTCAAAACACAAATCATGAGGAAATCAGAAATTAAACTCAAGATCTACTGTATTCTTAATAGAATGGCTAAAAAGAAAGAAAGAAATTGAGCAGAAGAAGTTCCAATGATGATGTAAAGTAACTACAACCTTAGCATTTTGCTGGTGAGAACGCAAAATGGAGAAGATTCTGAAAAGTAAATTGACAATTTGTTGTACATTTATCATTCACTATGTGACCCAGCAATCATAATCTGTGGTGTGTATTCTAGAAAAATGCAAATATAGTTCACATAACAACTTTGCATTAAAAAGAAACTTTTCATTGATATTTCTAGCATCTTTATTTATAGCTGGCAACAACTGGTATATTCATTCAGTGGAACATTATTCAGTGATAAAAAGAATTAACTTCAGGACCACATATCAATTTAGATGAATCTCAGAGGCATTATGATGAAACAGAAAAAAATTGGTTTTAAAAAATTAAGTTGAATGCTCCTCCATTCACATGATATTTGCAATTAGATGCAATCCACGCAAGGCAGAATAGACCCTTGCTTGGTAGCATAAAGTCTGGTAAGGACGTCACTATAAACATGTAGCATGAAGGAGTTTCCCAAAGTGATGGAATTTTCTGTAGCTGATCGTGGTAGGAGTTATATGTGTCTACATATGTATTTAGTCCATAGAAATATGAAAGAACAAGAAAAAAGATTTAGCTCAGTGGTTCTACTGCCTGCCTCACAGGCACGAGGACCCGAGTTTGATCCCCGGTACCAAAAAAAAAAAAATCCATATTTATAGAAATAATATTATTAAAGATATCATTTAAATATCATTTAGAGAACCAAATACCTATTAATATAATTAAAAAGTTCAAGTACTTTTAGAAGGAAATTTTATCTGAGATCTAATAATGAAAAACAAAGGACCTAAATAACGAAATGTCTGAAAAGAAAAGAAACATGAAAGTTATAATAGTAGATATTAAGGATAATAAGGTTAAAATAAAATTTAACACCAGTCTTGCTGAAAAGTTATGAATGTCTTACAAGTGCTGGTGATCATGTAGTATAATAGGAACTTTCATTCACTGATGATGTAAATGTAATTTGTATCAGGAGTGAGTCACCACAATAAAACCGAAAATGGATATAATTAATAATTTTGTTCTTCATTTGTAAGTGTGGACTCGCCTGCCACTCTTACCTGTCGATACCAGGAGACATGTACAAGAATGTTAATTGGAGCATTGTTAATAGCACCACAAAACTAAATATAAAAATAAAACTGCAAGCAACCTCATTTACATCTGCAGAAGAATTAATAGATTTTGTAAAGTTTATATACTAGAAACAGAAGAAGTGAACATTAGCTACTTATATTAACATGAATGATTAAGAGTCCCAGAATAAAAGCCCAGGAACTTTTATTCTAAATAAGACCTCCTGTGGAACTCTGCATGTCTATAAATGCCGCATCAACATGCAAATTAGTCTCCGTGATTTAGCTTGGTGGTAACTAATAGGGTTAAAAATGAATTTCCATGGTTTGAAATATTATGTCGAGGAGTAATAAAATGGGACAGTGGAGAATAGTAATTAAATTCTCTTCACCTTTCACAGACCTTCTTCATACTTATAAAAATTCTGGTCATTGACAACCAATCTCTAGATTCAGAAACCTGAAACATAGTATTTTAAAATATGTTTAACTGTCTGACACTGTCTCATAAAATTATTTTTCTACTTCATTATATTTTCTAGGTAGGTGAATTTGAACTATTTAATCTTTCTGGATGATGCATAGACAATATTATGAATATTAATAGAGCTTGAGGCAGAAGTGAATTAGTATAAAGGTACAACTTACCCTATGTTTTTATTAATGCAACAAAAAAATAAAGAGTTACTTTCTGGGGAATATGATCCGTATTACAAATCCTATAAGTGCCAGGATATGTTGTTAGTAATGCAACTTTCTGTTAAAACAATTTAGTGCACTTTAGTGAATGTTTATTCTAAATTATATAGAATGCCAATGAAATAGCCCTTTCTTGGGCTGGGGATTGTAGTTCAATAGTGCTGCACCTGCCTGGCAAGTGTAAGGTCCTGAGTTTGAACCCCTGTACTGTAATAAAGGAAAAAAGAAAATAAATGAAAAGAAAAGAGAAGAGCCCTTTCTTTGAAGAATAGACCAATTATGGTAAA